GCCCCCCCCCCCAGCTGGTGCGCTCACGGGCCGGCCGGCGGACTATGAAAGCAGCTGGGAGACGCACGCGGCAAACTGCGCGACGATTCGGACGACTGTGGCGTCTATCATTAGGGCACAGCTCTGAAGTAACGTGGTATAGTAGAATCAGCTGAACCTACGGATCGCCAGAGTCTTTCAAATCACCACGGATTTCGCCGCACGATTTGCCGCGTGTCTCTCGGGTTCCCCCAATGTTCCGTCCCCCGAATGCGCCGGGTACCAGTAGAGTAAATCAATACTGCCTTGTCGTCGTTTTCGCCCCTCGAAGCGGAAACTATTGCTGACTCCTTCCTCCGTAATGACACAGTACCAGAGAAAGACCTTGTCATTCCAACTAATCACAATGCACTAATGCAAGCCGTTATTTCATGATAAACGTGGGAACAGTTGGATGATCAGAAGCATGGGTCTCCGAGACCAGTATGCACCATGAATTCCGATAGTTTAGGTAAACCCAAGAGTGTTTGAGAGTGAGTGAATCCGGCTGGACGGGTGAATAACTTAGACCGTCCAGCCGGATTCATTGCCGTAAAAACTGCTTCCACTTCGCGGAAGAACATTGCATATTGTTTAGTTGTATGCTTTCAAGTGCTAAAATGTAAGACTATAATGAAATTAGTCTAGGTCTGAAGTCTTATTGAAGCATGCATAAGGAGTGACGCGCCTAATCCTCCACTCTGGAAAGTCAACAGACGAGTTTGGCGCGGCAACTACCTAATTATATACAGTAACTATCGAGTTTTCATGAAGTGTTTGTTGAGGTAATAAGACTCAGCGTCTCTCCAGTATGATTCAGTTTCGATACAAACTGAAAATTCATCTCCTTTCGCAAATTCACTGTAGGAGAGTTGTTTTTGCCGGACGCACAACTCACAAAAAGTAGAAAGCTGGGGTAAGGGAACTTCTCCCCCATCGCGGCATTCTCCCTTGCGGCATGCGGCAAATGTCACTGATTACCTACTCACCCCGCCTCCCGCCAATCGATAGGACGCGATATTTTTCGTTGATTGCCTTGCTCTTTAATTGGATTTGATCGTTTTTCTTCTGTTTCTTTTTGTTTTCATACTTATTAGACCTGATTAATTAAAATGACTCCTCATATGTAAGCGACGATCAAGGCTGCATTGAAATTGAAGAAAGCGGTCAGCCAATTCAAATAATTAAAGGACTCTCTACCACACAAATTGCGCACTCCAATCTTCAATCGCAATCGGGGACGGTACGAACGTGCGTCCGAGGGTGCGCGTGGCAAATTGCGCGGCCAAGTTCGTGACGATTTGTACGACTGCAGCGCCAATTTTTGAAGCACAAACTCGAAGTAGTGTAGTTAAGTAGGGTCAGATGTCCTCCTAATCCACTCTATTCCAAGTTTCGCCTCCAATGATAGGCGCCAAAGTCGTTCAAATCATTACGAACTTCGCCGCGCAATTTGCCGCGCGCATCCTCGGACGCACGTTCGTACACATACCCATCGCAATCCTGCGATACGCGGCGGGTACGGCGTGTGCGACGCCGTGTTAAGGGAGAAGTTTCCAGACCCAGAAAGCTGCCACGCAAAACTCGTCCATAGATTTTCAGGATGTAGGTTAAGAATGGAATAAAGAAGTGCTCAGTACAACAGTACCTTTCTGACAAACGATTAATGTACGTTTGATTAGGTCTGTGGCGTAGAAGTGAAAGCTGAGTTTAGCACAGCAGAGCAAAGATTATCAATGGTTACATATAAGCAAGCCTTTTTAAAAGATATGATTGGATGTTCAAAATCTTGTCCCCTGCAGGAGCGTGGATCATGGCAGATTTAACTTGCTCTCTGCACATACACAACATTGTCACAGTTCGCCAGCTTCGCCCACAAAAATGCTGAGTTATGGTCAAATTTTCGAACGGTTGCCGCATCATCCCTATGCTTCACTTCACCATGAGTACTTATTAGTTGGGTATTACCTAGTTTGATTGTTGTTGTATAGTACCAGTTGAGTAGTGCTGAGAACATGCTGTTGTGATAACAATATTCTTTGTCAATTGATGCAATTTGAAGTGAAGCGATCTAGATAAAGCACATTTTCGACTTTTCAAGAGAGCAAAGTGATAACGTTCCCACGATTTGCTCCGCCACGTCCGTGGGAAATTGCCAAGCT